GTATATCCCATGCACATATCTTTCTTTCTACATAGCACTTTAATTCTTATTGTTTGCACTGAAGCACCGCAGCAATTTCCTAATGTTGTAAACCTCAACATCTGGCAATAAACCCCATTCTGATTCTGATTCTGATTCTGATTCTGATTGGCATCTGTATTCATGACAAAGGATAACAAAGTGGTTTGGTTAACTCTTGTAATAGAGGTGGCCGTATCAATCCAAATGTCTTTATTGCTAATACCAATGGTGGTGTTAGAATACTAGTATAAAGATGGTTGATACTTTGTTTCTATAGCCCACCTTTTACAGTTGACTGTCAAATCTATTTTATTTATAGCCAACAGGACATTTAACCAACAGACATTTACCCAAATTCTTTTAGACACAGGCAAATTTACATTCCAGATCAAAAGAAAATCCCATGTTAAAAATGCATGTAAGGTTGAAAGGTGCGTTTTCTTATATTAACTAATTATTTTGGATTATTAGTGATCATTAAAATTTGTTTAGAATTTGCATAAGTCGTGACTCACTGCTCTGCTCTATGCTCCCTTTAAAATTAAAAGTGTGGTAATGTGCAATGCAATTTAAAGTTGCGGGGTATTTTTTAATTTACATTTTTTTAAGTTCAATGAAAAACTGGAAAGAACAAAGCCCATCCTAAATATAATCAGATCTTGGATAGACTTTGCATTGGTTTGAAAGCAGATGGTTTCTGTTCTGAGCAGTGCTCCCACATGAAATTAAATCCAGCATAGAAAAATTAGAAAAATAAAGTAGGTAGTTAAAAACAGGAATTGTAAGACTGACATTGTGTAAGAGAGAAGTCTGGATTGGATTAATGAATAATATTTACTCTATAAATCTTAGATTAAAATTAAATAACTGCACCTCTGTTTAGAAAACAGAGTAACTTTTGCAAATCACCCGCAAAACTAACCACATCAGCGCTATTCTGGGATTGACTGCTCTCACACTATTTTGCCTCATTTAGTTAACCTGGCCCAAAGTCTCTTGCAATGAACAGTATTAAGTAATTACATAAAACACCTTGTTTGGTGATTTACGCAGTTTGCTTAATGGAATTGTTCTTAAATGATGCTTTTCTACTCATGAACTCTAAGTACTTTTCTGTTTTAGTGCTTTCTATCTAACATTCACAGTGATGAACCCAGCAGCAGCTCTGCGTTCAGTTTCACACTTAAGCATACTTTAGCATGCAAACTGGAGCAGCCAGGTATTGAACCACCAACCTCCCAGAAATGACCAGCTTTACCTGCTGAACCATAGCCACCCGTTTGATAACCATTAAAAAACAAAAAATAAGAGGTCTGATATTATAGAAAAGTCCAAAAAATAAGCAAGTCAGAAGCGGGTTTGTGTTTAGGAGGATTGCTACAGTCTCATGAAGACAATGATTGCTGTTTTATGTGCTGCTCATGTCATGTTTATTACTGCATTAATGTAAGTTATATTAAATATAAATAAAATTATTTACAAGTTAATTACATTTATATTTCCTGCAGGTGCAGAAGAGTCAGGTCTCTATCATCTATTACACAAATCTTCTCATCACCAATCTAATCCAGATCTGCATAATGACCCTTTGGGTGACAAGAGTGGAAAGCATCATCACCATCATTATTTATTACTGTGTTATGATGGCCAACCTTTACTTCAGGATGTGCATTGCTCTGGAAAGGTACCTGTTCAGTGTGTGTGCATCCTTGCATGTCTCTAAACATGATCTTTGTACTGTGAAGCATCCTTACTTTCAGAAATATACTATTGTGTGCTGTGACAATTAGAATTTGTGTTTCTCTTTTGTTACAGGTATTTTTCCATCACACACCCACTGCTGGACTGTGTCAGAAACACTAAGAGTTCTGTGGTGGTCTGTGTTCTGGTCTGGGCGTTTTGTATTGTCAGTGTCACTCTTGCCATAGTCTTACATGAATTTCAACGATTACTTGTTTATGCCGCTCTCCCTGCTCCTGTTTTCATCTTATGTTCAACTCAGTCCTGCAGAGCCCTGGCTCAGGCCACCTCTATGTCCACTGAGGAAAAAAATAGAATTCTGGGAACTCTGACTCTGTCGTCCTTTAACTACTTTCTAGGAACCCTCCCCACAATGATCTTTCATATTCTAGTTATGCAAAGTTATGTTAACTGGATTGTCTTTCTGCTTGTTCCTTTTGTGGAACTGATTCTGTTTTTATTCATCTTCTCTGCATGTGTGTGGTGTGTGGACAGCACTGCATCAGATGAAGAATATGATGATGAGTGTGGCTTACTTTAGAACAGACAGGAGTGTTGATGAAAACAGAGTCAAGAGAGAGAAACAAGGATGCAAATGGTTGAAGAGTTTCTGCAAAATGAGGCAAAAAACATCCTTTACAAATACTGTTGCATGAGGACATCAGACTGTCAGCCGTGCTTCTCTCAACTGAAGTGTGTCCGTAAATAATTTAAAAATGTTTCATAATCTGCATGAACGCTTATTTTATTCCAATATTAACCTTTTTTTTAATTTCTCATATTGATGTTAGTGCAGTGGTTCTCTAGGTGTGTGGCCAGAGTTCTGACAGATGAGGTGCAACTCACCTGGCAGATAAGTTACGCAGAACTAATGTTTAACATCAGAATCACTTTGACAGCATAACAAAGAAATGGGCAGCAGTTACATTAATAATATGCCCATCTGCTGCAACAGATAGCCGCAATATAGAAGTGTACTGAAAGTGCATGATTGCGGATGCCGCTCAGGTGTGTCCGCCTCCTCTGCATCCGCACTGCAGACCACCAAGTTATATATTTTTCATCTCTGTTCACAAGTTTCTGGATTTCTTTATTTTTAATAAGACTAAGACTGAACCTTATTTTTCCATGTTTGGCAATCTTCAAATTCTGTTTAACATGTTACTTTTTAGAAGAAGTGGTGCAGACTAATGAAGCAGTCTAGTGGCAAAAGTTACAAATAGTTGTTTGAAATGAAAGTTGTTTGTTTAAAACAAAAATTACTGAAGGATTCATTGTGAATGAGTTTATTATCTAAATAAAGTTGTAGCTCGGCTTTTCTGTCATTGTTTTGTTTAGATGGGGCATGAAAGTATTTTTTTCCTGCCATGTGGGGAATGATATAAAAAGTTTTTTGCCTCATCATATTTCTGTAGTCCTCACCTGTGAAAGGCTGACGGAGTATGATGATGGTGGTGTGGACAGCTAAGCTTGTGAAGGAGACAACTCAAAAACGAGGTGACATATGAGCTTCAAATTGATACCACATCATATCTATTAAAAATCTTGTATAAGTTTAAATCTGCATAACCTCAAATTCACTTTCAGAGGACAAGTTTTCTGAAAATCTTGTGAATGTCATAACTCAAGAACAAGCTGACATAGAATTTTGCAATTGTTGAGTCTCTCATTCATTTTATAAGAGACTCTTTAAAGTTAACACATTGTTTTTCTGGACTACATTTGTGTTGCCCCATAATAACATTTGCATTTCTTCTGATCTATTGGCTGATGGCAGCAGGTATTACTAAAACGTTTGCAATTTTTGCATCTATGCAGTGTAAAGCTGCAGCACAGGCAGATGAACTAAAGCAATGTCTAAGCATGACAAAATACACCAAGGGGCACAAAATACAAGGATGATGAGCTTTGAGTGTTGTTACCGGCTATTTACGCTTATGTTGTATTTTTAATCTGTGTTTGTGCACATGTATGTTTGTGTATGGACTTTTGTACGTATAAGTATATAGATATATGTACATTAGTATATATCTTGTTATTTCTGGGGTTACAAAACCATATGCAAAACCAAATACTCTGGCTTCCTGTTTTTAGGAGAATGGCCTCCCATCTCAGTAACATATTAGCAAAACCTCAGCTACCCAAACCACCTGCTGTTAGAATGTAAATACTATATGCTGATGTAGGTTAAGCAATACTCATGGTTTGTGCATGTATAAAAGGGGAAATGTTGTTGGTAAGTCAGTTACGTCTCTGAGCACGTCGGTTTTCAGTGAAGATAGAAATCTTTAAACATGCGGTATCATCGAGGCTGCTACGTTAAGCAGCTCTCATCTGATGTGTCTGTGGGTTTTCATGTGGTGGACACAGGAAGACTGAGTTACTAAAGCTCTCATAAAGTCACACCTGTGGTTTAATAAAAATTTAATAAAGTGTATTAAAAGCCAAATGTAGTTTTTAGCAAAGAGAAGCAAAACATGTATAAACATGAATTAATTTGAGTTTTAATGCCTGCTGGATATGGATCAAGATTAAATTTTTACTGGTTTGCATTGCAAATTTCCAGTCTAGTGCCATCCACTGTAAATACACTGAACAAAACTATAAACGCAACACTTTTGTTTTTGCTCCCATTTTTCATGAGCTGAACTTAAAGATGTGAAACATTTTCTACATACACAAAGGACCCATTACTATCAAATACTGTTGACAAATCTGTCTACAGCACAGTGATGTGTAGCATTGTAGCATATTTACAGGAAGAAATGTGGGATAAACTTCTTCTTGCTGCTCTGCAAGAAGATCATATTCTCCATAAAACAAGTGCAACAATGTTGACTTTTACACATTGTTCATAAATCAGAATAATACTCCATGTGGGATCATAGCACCAAGCAGAACTACTGTGAACATGTAAAATACATGCAACAACAAACAGGACTTCAATGGGTGACCTCATGCTGACTGCATGCATCTTTCATCTGTGACGGGCGTTCATCTTTGTCAATGAGTGTTCAGAAATACAGCAGAGAAGCAAAATTAAAAAACATGATGGAAAAAATGTTCCAGTGTAAACTGGCTGAACTCACAGCAACATGATAGTTTTATTACATGGAGTTCACATCTCTCTAACACTGAACAGCTTCCAGATAAAGACTGTTAGTCACTGTGGTTATCAACCACCTCCAACAAGAAACAGCGGTATAGAAAGGGCTTTAAAAAGGTCAGATATGAATTGGCAGTTTAGGTGTCGACAGTGTCGAAATACATGAAGCTGGTTAGGTTTGGGAAACAGCTGTACCGGGTTTTTATCATTGTTTACAGGTTATAGAAACTTTTCTGAAATAAACACAGAATTCAAGGCCTGTCTGACCAAAAACAAACATCTTTATAGATCTATGATCTAATTGTGTCTGCGGTTTATCTGCAGCCAGTCAGCTTAAGAGAGGGTACGACTGGCCTGTACAAGCAGGATCCAGCTGTGACTACTGTAGAGGCTTTGAGTTCAAATGTTTGATGGTTAATGACAGCATGTTCATGCTGCAACATCTGCACTGTGATTTTACGATTTTACACATTCACGTTTGTTTACATAAAATAAAACATGAGATAATTCACTGTTTCATGAGCTACAGTCAGCACTGTGTGTGTGTGTGTGTGTGTGTGTGTGTGTGTGTGTGTGTGTGTGTGTGTGTGTGTGTGTGTGTGTGTGTGT